TAAAAATTTACATGTCTTAGAACAATATCAAATGATCACAATATGCTTTCAAATTAGCATCATCCAATGAGTTTAACTTATTAGATCCATATGAATTGAATTGATCAAACCTTTGTTTAAGTGATCCAATTGTTTTATCTAATGTATAAAGGAAATAATTGGTTCTGAAAGAATCTTCGTCTTCTACAGTAGCATTTTTACTATAATGTTTCTTGCTACATATTCTATGTTTCACTTGAAATATAGGATTAATTTTCATTTCAATGACAATTATTTTAGCAATATTTATCGCATAATTGAATTTAGCTTCCCTATATAATTTTAAAAAAGCAAAGTTTAATTAAAACTATCTTGATTCTTCAAAAACCTGCATACCACCAATCAAACGAAAGTGTAGAAAATTAGGAATAAGAAATAGAATAATGTTAAATAAGAGTCAATATTTGCCCATTTGTCTTATCATAAATCATCGATGATAGATCCAAAAGGCAAAACTCCTAAGATTGACATTAGAGCAAGAACAAAAAACCTAACGATAGAGTTCTTTCTCTTCTCTTTTTGATTGTTCTTTGTAGGTTAAATGATGGGAGAGCGGGAAATGACGAAAAGGAATTTGGGGTTAGCTTTTCACTCTTCACTTTAATCATATAAATTTTGGGTTATTTATTGTTTTGTTGGCTTGGTAATTAGTTAATGAAGCTAATTGGGCATGTAAAATAAATTGTTTAAAATTTTTTTTTTTTTTGGAGAATACTAGCTACGATCCCTAACCTTTCAAAACTTGGCAAGAATTACTCAAATATTTTATTTTGACAATTGAGGTCCTAAACCTTTACATATCGTTGTAGATGGAGGACATGTGGATGGAATCCATCTATCCATCCGTTAGTTGACAAAATGTTTTGTCCTCATTTTGATGCTTTAAGTGAATGTCGAATAGGACATATCTCTATTTCCATTTCTCTCAATATTATATAATTACTTTCCTTCTATTTGTGTCCTACACTTAAAAGCGTATTTCTCTTTTCACTGTAACACTTTCTCACCTGTAAATGGCCATGGAAAATGAATGTAAGCAGGTGTGGAAGCCCGTTGCAAATGAAGACCTCGTGGACAAACTTGAACAAGGAAAGAAGATTTCTCACTTGCTCACTCAATCACGATAAGGTTGGGTGTAACTTCTTTGCTTGATGTGAACCTCGATGTACAATGGTGTGTGAGTTGTTTATTTCAATAATAGGAGGGAAAAAGTAAGTCTCTTTTCTGGTTGACTTATAGCTGAGAGGTCAAGGGAGGCGACGAGTAGTGGGGTCCTGAATTAAGCCTAGGCTAAACCATAGAAATCTTAATGCCAACCGGAAGCAGTTATAGATGCTATAACAAAACTTCATAAGAAAATATCTTGAGAAGTCTTCATAACTGGCTGGAACCAACCAGCTGGACCTTTTTCCAGATTGAGGGAGCTCATTCCTACATTTCTTTGTATAAGGCAAAAAATGAAAGTTGAAATAAGGAACCTCCATTCAACTTGAACTACTATGTGGAAGGCTTGGATGGTGGGATGCCATATGGGAGTTGGTGTGAAATGGATGTTTAGCTAGATTTGTGTGTGGTTTTAGGTTTGAGTAAGATGGATGGATTACCTATTGTAATATCAATTATGTTCTATTAATGAAGTGTTTCCATATGTTAAAACATTGGCACATTTTCCAAGTTCTTTGTAATGCTCTTATAGTCTTTTCGAAATACATGTACAGTACAGGTCCTAAACCTTTTGAAGATGGTGAAGCATAGGTCCTAAACCTTTTATGACCATTGCACGCGTAGGTCCCCAAACGTTTATTGACTGATGCAGCCTAGGTTCCAGGTAATTGTGTTGATTTCCTAGTACAAATTGACAAAATTCATACAAAAAAGGTAAATACAAATTAAAAACCAAAAATCATGCAAACATCAATATCCAATAATTCAAACATACATGATGTTTACTAGGACAGTGAAAATATTCAATACAATATATTCAAACATACATGATGTTTACTATGACAAAGACTAACTACATGGAACATGTTTACATCCAACAAAATAATTTCATATTAAGTCCTTGTACTCTTATCCTTGGTCTTTTTCTTCTGTGGAGCCTTCTCTATTGAAGTTGATACCTTTCTCTTACCCTTTATTTACTAAGCCTGTTTTTGTTGATCTATAGGAAGACTAGCTTTGCAAGTCCTCTGATTATGACCTGCCTCGCCACACCTTTTACAAGTCATTTTTACGCCAGTTCTTGCCATCTTCACACCGGTAGGTAGCTCACCTTATGATCTTTTTCTCATCTTTTTTGGTCTTCCAATTTGTATCTTTTTCACATGTGGATTCAATGGGTTCTTCCCCAACTCTAGCCACAATTCAAGTGCTGACGCTGGATGAATCTGGAACTTGTATGGGAGTTGGGATTTATAAATCTTCTTCTTGAAAGTAACTTCCAAGACAATTGGACTATATGACCTCAAGTAGGCTATTTTCTAGTAACATGGATCAACATACTTATAGGCACCAATATTTCTTGACAACATTCCTGAAATAGTAAGTGGACATGGTATTCTTGTAAATTGCTATTTTCTACAAATATTATTTCTACATCAAATCCACACTCCACCCCCATTCTATCTCAATTGTTCACCTCAATTTTTTATTACTTGCATAATCTGCTTTCTATTATCTTAATTTTATTTTAGCATTCTCAAGGTTACTCATAATTCATGGTCCAAATGCATGTTTCCACATTGCTTCATATTTCCTTTTAGCATTCATTCTCAGCTTTTACTGATGTCTAATCTTCTCCAGCATCGTGATGATAGCCTTCACTTTAGAAGCCAAAATAGAGAAATTGAATGCCTCACAATAGTTATTAAGTAGAATATCACACCTTGAATGTTCCGAAAATGTGATCTCGTCCATTGAGCTGCTGGCTTTTAATTAAACGACTTGAATGCTGTCTCATTCACATCTTTCATTTCATTCATTGCAGCCATCCGTTTTGGCATAGTTGTAGACCTTGCTACCACCCAGGACAAGCTTTTCAATTTTAAGCTTTTATGTTAATGTAGAGTTGTTATATGAATGCCTTGCACAACGTCTATGCTCTATTCCTTTATAGAATTTGTTAACAGATTCAGCAAGACCATTTTGCTTGTAAAAAATGAATTTCAATACCCTACTGTTGTGCATTCCTATGTCAAACACTAGCATCTCCAAGAACCAGCTCCAATTTGCTCTGTTTTCTACATCCACAACAACCCATACTAAAGGAAACATACAATTGTCACTATCAATTCCAACTACTGCAAGAGGCTGTCTTCCATGTCCTACTTCTGGAAAACATCCATTCAACCCTATAACAGGCCTACATCTAGCCTTGAACCCGTCTTTACATGCCCCAAAAAACATGAAAACTCTTTTAAAAATAGTCCCTTGACCTTCCACTTGAACTATACTACAAGATTGATCCTCTTCAACTCCTCACTATAGTCCCACAAAATTTTGTATTGCTCTTTACCATACCATTAACAACTACTACACACTTTTTTCTTGTCCTATAGAACTGGTATTTGGATATTTTATATATGCAATCTTCTTTCACAATGTTCTAAACAATTACCCATTAACATATTTGGATCTGACCTAAACTTGTGTTCGTATTTCTTAGCTAAGTATCTAGAATGTACCGTTTTCACATTATCAAACTTTATACCTACAAAATAGATTTCATTTTAGATGGATCGATGTATGAGGTATGAAAGATAAAACAGAAGTTGCACTGTCATATTACCTATCTTAAATATATGATCCTCCATGTCTATAGTAGGGTTGAACCAAACTTCATTTTTATTCCAGAATCGGGTCTTTCTTCTTCATTATCAGAAGGTGTACTTCTCAGATCATCTGAATCTCCATAATTTCTTCCAGGATTTTCACCAAGGTCTGCATCAGCTTGTTCTTGATTTGTTACATTATCCATTCCAATGTTAAACCCCCTACCTAGTCTAAAAAAATGTGTCATCATCTGCTGCATTATTAACTATCTCATTCTACTCATACTTAGGATCAATAAAATCCTATAGCATACATTCCTCATTTCCATCATCTGCAGCTTCTCCCATTTCTTCATCATCTGTAGGGACCTCTGTCTCAATAATCACTCCTTTTGTCGGTGCCTCTGTCTATGTAAAATGTTCATTTTCTGATGGTGCTGATATCTAAGTAAAATGTTCTTCTTCTATTGGTTTTGATGCCTAAGTAAATTGTTCCACCTTATGGTGCTCCCATCTGAGTAGACTCTTTTGGAATTTGAGAGTTTGCATTCTTAGCATTTGTAAATTCATTTATCGTATATAGTCTACCATCAAAAGTTTGGGACTCAATATGTTCAACATTTGGTCTGAAGTGTCCACCAATGTTCATCTCCACTCTTTCTACTCCATGTTTTTCACCTAAAGTCTCATCACCAATATTCACATCCATTTGTTCTACACCAATATCCTCCTTGCTATTCACCTCTTTTGAAATTCAAAAGTAGATTATTTTTCATAGTATCAATTTTCAATTAAATAAGTCCTACTTAATAAATTTATAGGAACTTCATACATGCTTTAGGAGTTTTCAACAAAATAATGAGTTTCAAAATCATAATTAGATAACATTGTAACTTAAATCCTAGTTAATTCTTTATTGGATAAAGTCATTTTTTACTTTTCTACATATAAAGTCTTCTAAAAACTTAAAAATAAAGTCAAATAAAACGTTTATAAATAAACAAAAAAATTATATATTAAAGTTAACTAAAAGAACATTTCAAAAAGAAAAAAAATTAAAAAAATTAATAAAGAGCACTTAGGAAAAACGAAAGAGTGGGAAAAAAATCCAACCATTTAGAAATTGGGAAAAAAAGTGCCCAAGTGCAAAGGGAGGCATTTTGTCTGAGCTTCGAGCCAAGGCAATGCCTAGGTGTTCATAGGCAAGCTTTTTAGAACACTGGTCTCAGTATCCTGCATGTAAATTTGTTGATCCTCCATATTCTGCACTTTATCGTGTCTCTTAGCACCCACCACTTCTTCATCATGTTCACTTACAAGTTCATCATGTGCTTCACCATTTTCCTCAGCATCCACATCTTATTCATCATGTTCACTTACAGTTCATCAACAACGTAGAGATCGTCCACCATCCAAATATTCATCAAACACCTCTGCAGCATAGTTTGCTTTCTAATTCACCTCCACTGGTTCACATGTCTCATTCATACTACTCAAGTTCTCTCCAGTTTCAAGATTAACAACACAAAGTTTAGAAGGCAATGCATCTTCCCAAGGCAATTCCAAGGCTTATTCTATGGTGAGAAAACAATATACATCAGCTATCCTCTTGTCAATAGCTAATTTCACCAAGTTAATGAAATCAACATCAGTTACTAACCAAAACAATGCCACACTTAACCTCTTCTTTCAAGCTTATAAACATACATCATTCGCTTAAAATATCCCAACATATTTAATGCATTGTTCAACGCAAATCTATTAGATAAATTAGGATCAATGTATTCTAGAGAACTCATCTTACCATGTTCGTAGACTCAATTTCGCATCTTTATGAATAATATTCCACAATGGTGGAGCCTTATTGTGTAAGATCTGGAATCTTTCCCTATATTTAAAAAAAATTAAATAAATAATGATTTATAAGCACAAATAGGGAAAATAACATGGATATACAAAATAATATCTTTACCACACAACTATTTGTAAGATGATACATATTTACCATAGTCAAACCCTAGCAAAATGCTAAACACATAATCTTCCCAAAATAAAATAGACTTGTATGGACAAATTGTAAAGAATTTAAATGATCGTGTAGGCTTATATGTGTAAATTTTCGTGTATTAAATTAAAGGCTATCGAATTTCGTTGAACCCATTTAAAGTGATCTAATAACACTTCGATTTTGGGCCGTTATTCATCCAATTAAAGTGGGTTCTATATGTGTAATGACCGGGCCCATATTCCTAAAGGACATCAGTATATATAAATGGTTATTGTCCCCGAATCATACATAGAGAGAGTATTGTTCATTTTCTTCTGCATTCCATCACAGAGAAAAAAGAAGACTACGTGTAGATTTGAAAGACTAAGCTGTAGGATTCGATGATTGCATCAGCCATTCTGATTCAGGTACGCTTCCGTTATAAATCTTGAAATTCTTGATGATCCAACATGAAAGATCCAGTGATTAAAGGTAACAAATTATCCTACAAGTGGTATCAGAGCCTTTTCATGTTGAATCATTGAGAATCAAAGTTTTAGAATTTGGTTCTTGCAATATTTGGAGTTTTCAGATTTGATAATTTTGGATAAAGTTTTGTTGAATTTGAAAATTGTTTAGTGTGTAATTTTTGGTTATATTATTGGATCTGAATTGAATCTTTTAAAATTTTTGGATTATGATTTTTTTTTTGTTTTTAAGGATTATAGTTTTTTTTAGAGGTTAAAAAAAAAAAACCTGCCCAGAGGCAGTGCTGCTGCAAAACAACAACGCCAGGCGTTGCTGTATGCAACAGCATCGAGACTGCTGTGAGGTGGGTGGGGACGTCAGCGCTCCCAATTTTTTCACCTGTGCCGCCCAATGGAGAAGAGGAAGGAATTTTTTATTTTTTTTTTTAGGTTTTCAGTTTCAGTGAATTTGGGGACGGGGGCTTGTCTTGTAAATAAGATTATTTGAAGCCCCTGATTGCAATTAGGGTTATGGTTATAAATTTAAGATTACATTCCCTAACATTTAAAGTATATTCAAATTTGGGCCTCTAAATTTTGGGTTTAATAATTCAATCCCTAAAGTTTAAAAATTAATTAATTTGAGCCAATAAAGTGCTGAATTTTATAATTTAAGCCCTTAAAGTTTAATAATAAGTTTAAATTGGCTCCCAAAATTTTTTAATTTGTTCTAATTGACCCTCTTAAGTTTCAAATTTATTAATTTGAGCCCCTAAAGTTTGAAATTAACTAATTTTGACCCCGTAAACTTTTGAATTATTAACCGTAAGGCCCCTAAAGTTTAAAACTAAATGAAATATGCAAAATTGGTGATTTTCTTTCTCAAATTTTGATACTAAGGACTCTTTTAAAAGATATAATAATCGAAAGTGAATTAATTGAAGCAACATGTTGCCAAAACAATCTCTCTTGTGGAAATTGATTAACTTAGAATATTAAAAGGTATTTGTGTGTGTGTTATTCGTGAGAATACCGATCGGCCCAAAGAAAGGTCAATATTTGATCGAATTTCACATGCACTTGTGGTGGTAAACATGAGACGATTGTTTGGTTTAACGTGTGATCAATAAATCGGTTCAAAGAAAGATTTATTTATTGACATGTATTTATTGTCAATGTTTGATCACTACACCAAGAAAACCACTTACAAGTCAATATTCCTGTCTTAAGACTAGATATTGATGTTGTACTAGGTATCTTGTGATGGGCCCTGCCATCATTTGAGAATATTATTATTATTTGCATATTAAGGATATTCATGTGAGCTAATCGTAATAATTGTTCTCTAATTCGGTTACAAGTTCTGCTGGTAATATCTCTACTAGCATCGACTCAATTTCAATTCTTAATGGCACGAACTTCAAGGTATGGCAAGAGAATGTATTGATCATTCTCAGAGTCATAGACCTAGACCTCACTTTATAGGTCGATTAACCTACTAAACTTTCTAATAAGAATACCTCTAATGACAAGAGGGAGATGAAAAAGTGGGAAAAATCGAACCGCATAAACTTAGTGCTCATGAAACGTGCTATTCTAAAACCATTTCGGGACACTATGTCAAATGAAGTAAACATAGCTAAGGTTTTCCTTAAGGATCTTGAGAAGAGATTTGCCAAGAATGAAAATGCTAAAACTAGTACACTTTTGGCAAACCTTACTTCAATGAGGTATAAAGGAAAAAAGGAAAAACTGATAAGAAAGCTGGGGGTACAGCACTACAAAAGAAACAACATAAAGAACAAACTAGTTTTAGAATAAGAAGAAGAATTGTACCAATTATTACCATGGCATGTAAAGAAATATATTCTTCTTCATATGGTTTTTTCTAAGGATAATTTAACTTTAGTATTTAGACACACATGGTGGATAGATTTTGGTACAACAACTCACATAAGTTTGTCTATAAAGGTTACATGAGTTGCCAAAATCAAATGATGGTGAAAGATACATCTATGTTGGTGATGGCAAGACGATGAAAGTAGAGGCAATAGAAAATTTTAGATTATTGTTAAAAATTGGATTTTATTTGGATCTTGATGAAACATTTATTGTACCGTCTTTTAGACGGAATTTGATTTCTATTTCTATTTTAAACAAATCCGGTTATTCTTGTTCATTTAGGAATAGAAAATTCAGTTTGTTTCATGATTCAAAATTGGTTAGTTCCAGTTCTTTATCAGGTTATGATAATATTTATTCAATTGATACAATTGCTTCTTTTAATGAATCATTGCATGTAAGTACTCAAGGTGTAAAGCGAAAATTAACCAACGAGAATTCTGCCTCGTTGTGGTACAAGAGATTAGGTCACATCTCCAAAAGAAAAATTGAGAGACTTATGTTTGACGGGATTCTCGACCCTCTTGACTTCACTGGATAGGATTCATATGTCAACTGTATAAAGGGAAAACAAACCAATAAAAGAAGATTTCAAGCCAACATGATTTCGGCGTCTTAGAACTTATACGGTTCTTGGAACGATTAACAATATTTTATAACGTTCATAGACGAATTTTCAAAATATGCTACATATATCACAATCACTGGATATGTTCAAAAACTATGAAGCCGAAGTTGAGAACCAACTCGGCAAAAGAATTAAAAGTGTCAGATCTGACTGTGGGGGTGAATACTATGACAAATATGATGGTTCAGGGGAACAACGTTCAGAACCATTTGATAAATTCCTAAAAGAATGCGGTTCGTCCCACAGTACACTATGCTGGGTTCGCCCACTATGAATGATATTGCTAAGAGACGAAATAGAATGCTTAAGGACATGATGAGGAGTATGCTTAATCATTTTTACCTTAACAGAATCTCTCTGGGGTGAAGCATTAAAGACCATAGTGTATATACTCAACAGATTTCCAACTAAGGCCACTGATAAAATCCCTTATAAGCTTTGGACAGGCAAGAAACCTAGTTTGAAGCATATACATGTTTGGGATGTCCAGTTGAGGCAAGGCCCTATAAGCCAAGTGAAAAGAAATTGGATGCAAGGACCATCAGTTGCTATTTTATTGGATATTTTAAAGATCCAGGGGCTATAAGTTTTATGATCTCACAACTAAGGGAATTTTCGAGACAAAAAATGTTCGATTCTTTGAGGATGTTGAGTTTGCCGGGAGGAGAAAGGTAACCAGGCTTTGTCTTTGAGGGGAAATATGTTGAAATTTCTCTAGTTGCCATTGACAATGATCAGGTTTCTCATTGACATTGTTCAAGAAGCAACTCCAGATTAAGACAATGTCGTATCTCCTCTCAAGGTCAACAAATTATTCCAGAAGAACAAACTCTACAACCTCAAGAACAAATGCCATTAAGAAGATCCACTAGAGAGAGGAGAAGTACGGTTTTGGATTATTACATCATATTTCTCCAAGAACGTGAAGTTGACATTAGAATGGTGGAAGATAGTCCAATCAACTTCCATCAAGCCATTGAAAGTTCTAACTCTCATAAGTGACTCGATCTCATGAATGAAAGATAAAGTCCATGAAGGATAATGATGTATGGGACCTCGTTCCATTGTCTAAAGGTGTGAAACCCATTTGTTGCAAATAGATATTTAAGATAAAGAGGGATTCGAAGGGTGATGTAGAGAGGTATAAGACCCGTCTTGTCGCGAAGGACTTTACACAGAAAGAATGCATCGATTATAAAAAGACTTTCTCTCTGGTTTTTTTGAAAAACTCTTTCAGGACTATAATTGCATTGGTAGCATATTTCGATCTTGAGTTACACCAGATGAATGTCAAGACAGCATTTCTCAATGGTGACATTGATGAAACAATTTATATGGTACAACCATAAAATTTCGTATCGGATGATGCAAAGC